TAAAACATATCTTCTAAAATTTTGCTCAATGTGTTAAGAGAACTGAACTGACAAAAAAAATGTTGATAATATAATTCTAATAATGAATACATATTTTTTAAATTAGAGACATTCATTGTAAATAAAATCTATGATAAAAGACACAGAATGATATTTCTATTTTCTATTTAAAATCAGCATAAAACATCTTGTAAAGAAGCTATTTTTCTTCTTAAGTATTTGTTTGCATTGAGTAAATTTTATTCCATACCTAATCAGAAGAAAAGAATATTCTACATGTTTATGTTAATTTAATTATTTTTGTTGGTGTGTATGAACAACCTGATCTATGAACAAGACATTTTCATCATCTCACTACTGATCAAATCAATTCTGTGTATATTTGTCATTTATGTAGTTATTATAAAAAAAACTGATCTGTATTTCTCTGATAGATAGTCATTAAATATAATAGGTAAAAAAACAATCGTAATTGAAGATCATCCCAGTCGATTCTTCCTGGCAAACTTTTTCGCCAAATCACAATAGGAATTCTCTATAGATTCGTGAGTTACAGTTACATTCTTATACATCAGAATATATTTAGTACTAAAAAAAAGTTTCATCAAACTGAATTCATGTCGAAACCATGATTGAAGGTTAAGAACGATCAGACAGAAATCAAGATGATCGTTATCATTTACAAAAGAAAATAAACTTAGAAAAGGATATCTCTAATAAATTCTCTAATGATTCACTAAGGATCTAAAAAATTTTGAGAGACCGATCAGAAATTCAACAAAAAAGTATACACTAGGAAATTCTCTAAATATACGATAGATATCTAATTAATCTTCTAACATAATTCTTTTAGTATATTTCCTTTTGAATGCACTGCTTTTTATGTTTTCTTTCCACTATCTCATGCAAGAACTGGTTGTTTTCGTTTCTAGAACATGAAAAAAGAGCTTCTGTATAATATGCTTTATATAGCTCTCATTTATCAGTTTGGCTAGTATAAGGAAAATTTACATTAATATTCATTCAGTTACAATCATTACTATCATATAATTATCATTCGAAAACAAACAAACAGTTAGATTTTAAATCTATTACCTATGATTGAAAAAAAAAACAAAATGAGCTATGAGATGCTTTCAGAAGCTACTCTTCATTGATTCATTTCTCAATTTTCTTTGAAAATAAAATTGTCGATGAAAATCTACAAGGTCTTTTTTGGCAGGTCTCATCAAATCTAAACAATATTTTATTTAAAAAATTTACCCCTGTAGTAGATGTTGCCTGGAAATGTTTTTATTATAAAGATGCCTTTTGCAACAGTTTGTATAGCACGAAAAGATTTTTGTATTTGTAATCAAGGACGTTTGCGTATGGTGAAAGAAGGCATGAATCAGAATATTTTTTTCTTCTACCTTGCCTTTCAATATCTGTTTACTTTTTATAGTGCATGCTGAATAGTAAATCATAGAAGTTTTGTTCTATTATTCTATATACCCACATCGAAACGAATGAAAAAAAATGATTGATGGAATGTAAACAATCTATTTTCATATTTTTATATTTTCAATTTGACTGAAGAGACCACTCATAAAAAAAAGCCACACAAAAAGAAACTATTCATTGAAATAATACTCTCGATTTGCAAAGTAGCATCGTTTTTGGGATGGATGTGAGTGCGGATCGTCTCTTTACACCTTTGAAGTACGGTGAAATACGAAAATTTTACTTTTTTCTTCTTGAAGGGCACACATTTAAGCAAAGACCCTCACACAAGCATTTCGATCCAGCATCATCAGTTTGTTTGGATTCAGATAAATCTCATTATTTTGCGTAAAAAAAAATCTATTTTTTTTTAGCGCGAGTCACTTAAAGTTTCAGCCCAAAGTTAGCAAGGTTCAGCCAGAGATCCCTATGGGTAATCGTATTAAGCTCGCTGTGTTTGCAGCCAATACAATTCTATTCATTGTAAATATCACAATCGTGGTCAGCATACTCGAGTTGATACACCTAGATATGTTGCGATCGAAATGCAGAAAAAAGTTTTTATCGAATCTCTGAGAGATATCTTATGTTCTGAAAACAGTGATGTTAGCTATTGCAGTTTTAATCTGTAGGATATGATCAAAGACCATGCTTGATTTAATTCCAATAGAAAAATCTAATATCCATATGTAGCTGGAAAACGGTCTTATCCGTCCTCATCCTTTATAGTATTCAATAGATTTTGACTTAGTTTCAATTCAGTTTCATTGAATTTTTTATCTTCAATTTGTTTTGACTCTGTATCACTAAGAAAAACAGATTGTAAATGTTAAGAAAATGTACTTACAGTTGATGTAGTCTCATCTCAAACGCAAGGTACTATCTAGAGTGGCTTCCTCGTTAGTTCACATTGTAAGACCTCTAGCAATGCTTAACAGTTTCTAACAACGAGAGAGTAAATTAAATCAATTATGCTTATATATAATCGTATCTATGTAAATTGTTGTTTTAAAATACAAAACGGATAAATACATTTTAAATTGCTCTTACCAATCATCGATATAACGAAAACTTCGAAAGATGGCAACAACATTCGATCTAATCACTTTTGCTGCTGATACTCTTTTTCATTATCTCAAAAAAAAATCAGAGTTCTCATTTCAAAAACTGTTATTTTGTACAACATATTGAGAAGTAAAGCGGAACTTTGTAAGAATGTTAGTAAAAAAAATCGAGAACGAATAATATACAGTACTTCGCATCGTGATTAAGAAAAACAGAATACGAAAATGAGAATAAAAAAAGCTTGTTAGTACAGCTTCTATGGAGCTGAAATGTGAAACTTACATGTCTTGTTTAGCTTCATTATACTAATACAAAATACACAAAGTGTGAAATCTCTATAAAACGATAGTTCTTTGTGAATGATAATTCATTGTCAACAAACGCTGTGTTTTTTTAATTTCTACATATCGAATAGAAATTTTGTTTTCTTTTTTTTGACTAATGCATTTTTTTTTATTTCATTTTCATAATTTATTATTATTAATCTAACCATTGATTTAATAAAAAAAAAAAGCCTGTCGTACACATTTGTTATATCTACGGCAGATCATAACGATATATTATGCATCTTGATGAACTCAGAAATGATAATATTGATGGTTCCCGATAGTTAGGACCTAAATAGTTCATGATTTTGTGTTGGTCATATGACAGTTGTAAGAAATCAAAACATAATCCTTGATATCTATCGTATAATCTTTTATCTGCAAAAAAAAATTAGAGACTAGGAAGATGTTGCAATGCTCTAGAAGCTTACAAGTCTTGTTATTAATGTTGTTCAGCGTCTTTAATCTCAACTGCTAAGATTTTTAATTGAGAGAGAGAGAGTGGAGGCCGCAAAACTTTTGCGTAAAACTTGTATTCACTATTTTCTTCGGAAATATACGTGGGTTCCATAA